GATTACACACATATTTTTCGTCGATCTCACTCCGATTCTTAAGGTAATTTTCATTCTCATTTTAAGTTAAGCATAAGTGTAATTATCTATAATTAAATAATGAGAAACATTATTTTAGTTTTATTATATGAGAACAACATTGAATATTTCAAGAGTATTTTAAGTCAAACGTACCGATTTTATTTAAATAACTTCTATGCTCTTATCTTTTCATGCTCTCTGATGTTTTGGCCTGGTTTTGTGAAATTATTAGTACACCTTCCTTTCGATTTCATTGTTCTTTGAAATTATTAATATTTACATATTATGTAAATATTCTGAACGTAAATATTTTTACTACCATACGAGTATAACGAAGTAATACTTTTGCAAAGAGTAAGCAAATTTTACTTTGAATTTTTGTTCATTACCAACTTCATTGAAAGCAATAAGGAAGGGGTTATGTGATGACACCAAATTTTGGATGTCAAGTTTTCAGTGGTAGTTTTTTTCCATTGTAGGGAAGCGTAAATAAACAATTTTTAGAGAAATGTCGGTCTGTTTGACTGTGTGTGTACGTGTACATCTCAAGTTCGGCTGAACCCATTTTGTTGAAATTTTATATGAGAGTTTACTTGAAAGGTGTCACAGATTGATCAACTATTGAGATATGTCAGACATCGGACACTGGACCTTTTTGAGGGATGTTTTTTACATTTTATCTCTTCTAAGGACAAAATAATTAACCATTTTTTTTGAAATTTAATATTTGAATTCGGAAAATAAGTTTGGGAAGTTGTCGGAAACCGAATAGAGATCGATTTTTTATTATATCTGCGGGACTAGTTGAACTAAATTGGCAAACTTCAGGGAATTCCAATGGCACAAAGTGAAACTCTAATAAGAGCCAAACTCCTTAACATTCTAAAGAAGTTTTTAACACGCATTTTGATAAAATTTTGTAACACTTTCACTAAACTAGACAATAATAATTGCGGTCGGTTATGTGCGGACCACATCAGCTTTGTTTTGTTTGTATTTTTGTATTTCAATAAAAATTCTTGCTTTTGCACAATATTCCAAATTAATTTATAAAAGAATTTTTTATTAGATTAATTATTGTTCATTGTCTAACATTGCACATACACGTATACATACATATATTATTCGCCTGCTTATTTTTAATCTTATCAGGTCATTTTTTCTTTTAAAAAAAATTTACAAGAAAAAAATTGTTTTTAACCTTTTGTTCATTACCTTGAACATTAAAAATTTGTTCTTCAGTTCATCCATAAGTGTGACTTTATTGTTACCTTTTGTTTTGTAAATTTTTAATCTTAAAGACAAGATATTTTTTTAATGGGATTTCAATAATTCTTTTTTTTTCTAAAGTAAATGAAAATAAAATTAAAAGAAAAGAGAAAAAGTTGTATTTAGTCCTAAAGGTATTTTAATTTTTAATATTTTTTTTTTTACTTTACTGGTACAACCTACCGCAATCCAGTTACTTTTAACAAATTAAAAGCCGTTACCTTAATAATAAGGAGATTAGGAATAGTGGGTGTAACTGTTCAAAAAAAAAAAATATTTTATTTTGAGGTACTCAAAAAGGATGCATATGCATCGTAAATCAATTTTAAGGCTTTTTTAAAAAAAAAAGATTTTTTCTTTGTTGCTTTTTTGTAAATTTTGAGCCCTTCGTTTTTGTTTTGTGATTTGTTTTTATTTTTGAGTCGGGTTGCCCAAGGTATAAACGTCACGAATGCCACCCCTTCAAAGTTTTTTTTCTTATATTTAAGTTTTAAGGGAATTCTCTGATCTTATTTTCAAAATAAAATTTTTAAAAATTAAAAAATTTTTGTTCAATTCTTTTCTTCGAACATTCAAAAATTGTATCTATTGTACGAATTATATAAAGGAACTGTAGAAAACGGATGACGGAATGAGTTAGTAATTGAGAGACATGGAAAAATTTGTGATAAACAGAATTTAATCACTTAGATTTAAATCACAAAAATTTTTACTTTTTGTTTCTTGAAATGTTAATTTTGTAGGGAAATTTCAAAAAATTTTAATTGTTATTCATTGTTAGAATTATTAATTGAGCCGATTTCTTCTTGAATTCAACCTGAAATGAATATGAAAAATAAACTTTAATGGATCTTACAGAAAACAAAGATTCGGCGGTGTAATAAACTATGATGAAACGAAGATTGCACACAAGTAAATAGGCCAAAATCTCTGTGCCCTCTAATTTTGCGAGATATGCAATGAAAAATTTGAAAAATATTTATTAATAGTTCGATGTAAAATACCTTTTATTTATTAATTTACTCGGTATTCCAACTTTGTTAAATGTTAAGATTTAAGAGCGCAAAAGTCTCGACATATTGCTGCTTGTATGATAATCAAAACTAATACTCGAACATGCAAGAATTTAGTTAAAAACTGATTTTACTCATACTTAGGTTTTAATTTCATTTATTTATGGTTTTCCATCTCTTGTAGTCTCAGATTCTTTCAAAAATTCAAGAAAAAATAAAATTTTTTTTTAGGTTAAATTTTTCGTTTTTTGACTTTTGCTTTTCCTTATTTGTTTTGTTTTTCCCTCTCTTACACATTATTTTTTTTCTAAATATTTTTATCTTAACTTATTGTTTTTAAATGAATGCATTTCAATAAAACAAAAGGATATTTTGGATAAAAGAGAATCAAAGAAGGAGAAATAGAGTAAATAAAAGAGAATAAAATGAATAGAATAGATTGTTTAAGGATAAGGATGAAGAAAAAAAACATTTGTCGGTTTTCGGTAAGAGAAGTGCAAATCAACAAAGTAAAAACACTCATAAAATATAGAAAGAATCGAAAAGTTTTTCAAAAAAAAATAACAGAAAAAGAGCATGGAAAACTAAAGAAGATGCAGAAACAGAAATGTATGTAGACCATAAAAAAAAAGAAGGTGTTTTAGAATGTACGTAGATCTTTAGAACCAGAAAGAAAGAAAAAATAAATAAACTAAAGTAGTACAAGAAATAAAATAACTTAAACCAAAAATCAAAAGAATAAAATCACAATGTAAAAAAAAAAAATTGAAAAGATATTAAAGAGGAAAAGGAAAAAGGAATCAACAGGTTTTATTTAACCTCCTTTTTTCTCTTCAGGGTAAAAATGTAAGTACATGTGTATAAATGTTTTTTTGGAGATACACACATAGCTATACACAAATATGTGTATAGTCTTCATGAGAATCTGATTTGGGTTTTATTATTATTGAAAAATATGAGAATAGATACAATAAAAGATTGTTTATGCACACAAAATGTACAAAAATATACACACATTTTCAATTATATACACATATTTTACATACATACATACTCACATTTTTATATGCTTACATGGTTTTGAATTTTGTATTTATATGTTCTTATACATTTTAAAAACGTGTACAAAAAAATTTTGTTTTTTTTTTTTACTAGATTCGAATCGTTTATTTTTTTTTTGTTGCTGCTGTTTGTTGAATTTTCCATCATATGATTTAAAATTCTAGATAATAATGATGATTTTCATATTCTTTTTTCATTTTGTTTCTGTTTTCTTATATAACAAGTGTTGTGAAACCAAATGGAAAATGACATCATATTATGAGCATTTATAGCTACATATAGAATGGTTTTATTTCAAAAGTTCTAGTTTTCTCTTTAACAATTGTACACAAAAAATTATTAATATGAAAACAAAAAGAGTCCCTAAATTGTAAAAAAATTTCTTGAGAATAATTCCTCCTTCTCTATATAAAATTAAATTTAGAGTTTTAAATTAGATTGTAAAATATGAGTGAGTAAGTATGTAAAACTTTTGATATTAATTGAAGTATAAAAAATTGTTGAATGAGTTAAAATTTCTCTTGATACTATTATGATTGTCATATTAATAGGGTGATAAATCAATGTAAATATGTATATATGGTTAATTTTTAATTTATTAAATTATATATAAACTTGATAATGTGCTTAAATTTTGAATAAGAATTGTTTTAAATTAGAGGTCAACAATGCCTCTCTAGAATCAAAAATTTTTTAATCCTAAAATTCATATTTATTTATATAAAAAAAAATTACTAACAAATTATTATAAAAGTTTGTATTTAAATGTGTGCATTTAATATTTACTGTACAGTAGAACCTCTATAATGTGTAGGTTCCTAACCATCCAAGGGCAAAAAGAAAATCACTGCCACAAAGAGTTGATGCACATAGAGAAAAAAATTTTTTGTTTTATATTAACGTATTTTTACTTGCCTATTAGCGACAATATGTTTTCTGTAGTTCAAATGTATTAACCAATAAATAATTGGTGTATAAAACCAATAAATTAACCAAGTTAATTGTTCCTAAATGTTTACTATAAAGTTCTTATATTAATATGTAAAGAACAGAAGATAGTGGTCAATCTATGGAATATATGGATTGTTCTCATTAAATAAGCATTTTTTTAAATGGAAAAACGTGACCTTTTTCAAGGGTGGTGAAAAAATTAAGTAAGGTAATGAAAGTGGTCTGAGTATAGAAGTTATAAAATGTATGAAAATTTTACTGTTTTAAATTTTACTGTTTTAAAATTATTAAAATTAGTTAGAAAACCGAATTTTGCAGTAGTAAATATCAAATATCTATTGAGGATTCAATTCAAATTAATCCAATACATCACGATATCGGGAATTCTTAATGGTGGAATGTACACGTATTAAGATATCTTAAATAACAAAATACAAGTATATAACAATGCAGCTTTTATTGAGAATTTACTCTTATGCCGAATATTATTAAGATAATTTAAAAAAGTCATCGAATTTTAGTCAGTCCTGAATTCAGCGAATAGTTCAAAGTCTTATTTTTAAAATAATGACAATTAATTAAAGAATTAATTTTTAGTTTATTTCTTTTAAAATTTATTAATTAAAAATTTATCATATATTTAAATTTTAATAATTAATTGTTCTTCTCTTTATTTCAGATCTATACATATAGAGATAAAATAATATCATTACAAAATAAACAAAGTAAGTACATAAAAAATTTAATATTTTTATTAATTAAATAATTTTCAAATTAATATTAAGAGAATTTTCCAATTTTTTTTAAGAAAATTTTCTATTATAGTGCAAACTATATTAAAACTATATTAAATTTCAAAATAAAAATATTATTGAAAATATATATTCGAGTTTTAACTGAGTTTTCAAAATTTATTAAATTCATTTTAATGTATAAAAATCACACATGAAATATTCCATGATATGCAAAAATCACAAGAGACCCAAAGTGACTTTTCAAATTTAATTCATGTGAAAAATTATATAAAAAAAAAATTATGTTGACATGTGAACTTGTGTAACAAAACTAAATATTATTTGTATATATGTGCGTATATTTTAATGTCATTTTTTATACACAACTTAATTACTTATTGTAAAATAAAATGAATAACCTTTTCAATAAAATTTTTAAAATATAAAAATTATTAGTTTGTGTGTACCCAAAGTCAAATAACAAAAATTATCCCTTATTAGTTTTTCATTTTAACCTTTGTAGACCCTTGAATACTTTTATAAAAATTTTAATACCAATGACTGATATTGTTTATAATTGAAATATAAAAATTAAATTTCGAATTGTCTTGAAAATGCCTTCTAAATATTTATATTCCTGAGCTTCAAACACTTATTTAGCAAATTGAAATCACATAGGTGGACACTATACGTGATTATTGAAACCTTCACTTTAAAAAAATTATTGTATGAAATTTTCCAGTAGCATAATAATAATGTACAAAATAATAACAAAATGTGATCAGATTTGCTTTCTTAAATTTAAATGAAAATTTCTCTTGACAAATTTGTACGAGTTTCTTTTAAAACATTAACATTTTCCTGCAAATTTTTATTAATTAAAAATATCATTATGATTTTATTAAAAGATTTTTATTAAAAGATTACACCAAAAACAAAATTATGAAATTTAAGTTTAATGCAATTAGAAAATGTTGTTGAAAGTGTTTTTCTAATAAAATAAAACAAATTATAACATTCGCGGTGACACGGTATAGAAAAGAAAAGAGAAATTAGTTTTCTAGTTACCTGATATTTTTAAATGCAAACTATAAAATAAAGTTAAATGCCTTCAATTTGTTTTTACAAAAATTCAAGGAAATATTAAAACTTAATTATATGTCGAAGAAATCATAGCAAGCACAGGGGAATAACACTGAATTGCAAATATCAATTTACTCTTGAGATTATGAAAAAACAAAAAAAACATGATTAAATCATTGTATTAATTAATTAATAATAATTTAATAAGAAATTAAATTGTATTAATTTAGACATATACAATAATTTTTTATAATTAATTCAATATGAAAAGTTCATTTTAAAATTTACACTTTATATAGATTCGTTTACAGTCTATAGATTTTAAAGTTAACAAAACTTTTATTACATAACATATACGTTTGCAATGATTTTCAACTTATTTAAAATTTGCATTTTTTAAAAAAATTATAAACAAGCGAGAAATTGCTCTTAGATTCTGAAAAATTGAAGATTTAATCTGAGTCTAATCAAAATCAAATAAGTAAGAACAACGGTTTGATTTAATAGACGGTTTGATTTAAATTGTTCTATTCTCATCACATTTACTGTCAAAATTTTTAAAAGTGGCGACTTTATTAACTTTTTGTGAGAGTTTTGTAAAGTGATCAGCTGATTTTGTAGAAAAAATTTTAAATTTTGACTTACATTTAATAAACACTTTTATTAGACTTTTTTGTATATTTAGTCACAAATTTTGTCGTATATGTAAACGGCACTTTCGATTTTTATAAATAGTGTCATAATTTAAGTATTAGGAACTTATTTTGTCAATATGTTTTTTCTCGAATTTATGAATATTTTATTGAATAACAATATAATATGTACTTGAATTAAAGCGATATAAAATATCACCTTAAATTATATATTTTTTTTTCTAAATTCGATCTAGAGAATATAAAAAATATACAAACATAAATACAATGTTTTCCTAATAAATTATTAAATGATTATTAAGGCTTAATAAATTTCTAAATAAATGCTCTAAATAAATTTGAAAATTTAAGAATGAAAAATGTACGACACAATTAATAACTAATTTCATTAAAACAGGTCTAAACTAGAATTAACAATGTCAATTCATTACAAAATATATTTATAATAAATAAAAATGTAGAATTATGGGGCAAAAGCTGGCGGTCAACGTAAATCTTTCTCCTCATTTATAGGCGTGATTTGGAAAATTTTCATTATTTTTCGTAGAACAACTAAATTGAAATTAAAAGAATTAAATTACAAATTACTAAATTTAAAAACAAAAAATTTACTTTAAATTTCAAATATTCAATTTTATAAATAATTCATTTTAAACTTACCCCTGAATTTATGCAATGAGAATTAAAAAAAAAATATTTTCGAGAGTATGTGCGTAAGAAACAACTGAAATTGTGAATAAAAAAATAACTGGTTGGTTGAATTGTACTAAAAGTTTTGGGTCAACTGTCTTATTCGTTTATTTTCTTTTTTGTTATTATTTTATTTCTAAATCACACCATTCTGATTGATTAAACACGTTTTTTTTTCCTCCATATTACAATTTATATGCTTTTTTTTATTGTACTTTAACCGTGTAATAAATGCAAAATGACATCTTGAGAAAAAAAACTTGCTGTACAAGAAAACACAAAAAAAAAAAAAAAAAAAGAGAAAAATTTCCACATTTTCATAGCTGTTATAACTGCAAAAAAATGTTTTTTTTTTGCTGCAAATTCGTGCTATTGAGTGAAAAACTTGTTAGTCACATACTTAGTTCAAAACATGATTGATTTTTTTCTTCATTCAATTTTTTTTTTTTTTAATAATTCTTTGAAGTTTTAATTAAAAAATGAAAAAATAACCTGATATTTTTTATTGTAAAAAAAATAAAGTAATTTTTTTTTGTTTATAAAAACATTAATAATTAAAATTATATCGCATATACTTACTTTATAAAATATGCATACAATTATTTGATGTATGTATAACTTGTACACATACGGACTTAAATGTATGTATAAATGAATGTGATTCAGTTTTATTTTAGTTTATGTTTTTTTAATTTTTGCATAATGCGTTCCATAAGTTTAATAGGCTGCATACATAATAAATTGTAAACGTTCACTTTTGTGCTTTTTTTTCTACTCTGTTTTTATATTTAATTTTACAGTTTTTATATTTTTCCATTTATTTGCATCTTATCTTTATTTTTGAGTTAATTTCAATTAATTTTCTTGTCATTAAAATCATTTACAATTTTATAACAATGTCTTTTAATAATGAAATTAATTCAATAATAATTCGGTGTGATTTTTCAATTTTATTCATTATTTTATTATTATTATTATTGTTTTCTTTTAAATTTATATATGTAAGCAACACATTTTCCAATAATGTCATTCATAATAAGCCTAAGAATCAATATTGTTTGATTTATGTGATCACTATAAGAAATTCCAATTTGTCTTTTTATCAGCTACATACAAAAAAAATCTCTCTTTTTAATTTTTTAGCACTTTTCCAAAAAATTTTTTGAAAAAAGTGCTTATTAGTTTCACTCTGTCCGTCCGTCCGTCCGTCCGTCCGTCCGTCCGTCCGTCCGTCCGTCCGTCCGTCCGTGTGTCTGTTTACAAAACTTCTACACCCTTGAAGATAGAAAGCTGAAATTTTATATATACATAGATCTTTACTAGAAACTTATTTTCGTAGAACAAAATTTTTACCTATCTCCCCCCCTCTAGAAGTTATACCCCCCCAAAACCCTAAAAATGGCCTTTTTTAAATATTTGTTGCAATGAAACCATAAGTATTTTTGAAATTTTGCAAACGCAGAAAGGCAGCGGCTTGCTTCCCCTAGCGCGGTATACTATAGTTAAACTTTAGAAAAACAAAATGGCCGTTGAAATTTACCGTTATCTAAAGTCCTTTTTTCCCAAATTTTTGATGTCGTTTTTCTTCTAGATCCTATATTCTAGAACTTTGAAATTTTAGGGGCTTTTAGACATTAACAAATAGTTCATTTCGTTAGAAGAAATTTTTTTTCCATCTCCACCCCCTCTCAAGTTATCACCTCTTGAAAATCGTAAAATTTGAATTTTTGACACCCTATATTTCCGAAACCGCAAGCTTTTCCAAATTTTTATAAACGCAAAAAGCTAACGGTAAATTTCGTGACACTAAAAAATATAATTATTTTTCTTAACTCACACAATTAACCCTTAAAATCGAGCATTATGTTAACCCCTTTTTATGTTAATTTTTGCTTTATTTCAAAGACTGCATATATGCGTCATCCTAAATATATGCAATCCTAGTAGTTTTGTATATGAATGAAAATAATTTTTATAGTGTGATAGGTATACATAGACTGTATTTAAAAGCAGAATTTTCACTTGTTGAAGGGAAAAGTGCTACAATACAAACCATTGGTTTGACCCAACTTTATTTTGTTTTGTTTTGTCTACTCTATTATCAGTTGATTATTTTCATGTAATTTAATATCTTTGTATGTTTATAACTATATTAAGTAGTTAAAAAATATATATTGTATTGCAGACATACATACATATAATGTATTGTAATGTAACCAAAATTTTACAAATCGTACATACATACATACATATATTTTAAATCACCTTCCAGCAGTACAAGTAAATAAAAAATATTTAAAAAAAACAAAACATACACATTTACATGCAGAAAATTAAATTTTTGTTTTTAATTTATTTTTTTTTTGAAGAGAATGCAATTATTTTCACTCAAAAATTCTTTATTCTCTTTATTATTATTTTTTTAATTTTTTCACTCATTTTTATTTTATTTATATTTTTTTTTTTGTTTTTTTTTTTTTTTGCTTTATGTATTAGTACGTTATGCAAGCCGACGGAACGCATACCATTAAAGATGAAAACATTTTTTTTTTTTCATTTTTGTAA